TCAAGAGTTCTACCTAACCTTTTGTCCAACCAGTTTAGTGTTTCTGTTTTAATATTTAGATATTTGATCCATTTTGTTGTTAGTTTAGTGCAGAGTGAAAAATCTAGGTCTAGTTTTAATCCTTGGCAAGTTGAAACCCAGTTTTTCCAGCACCATTTATTAGAGAGGCTATCTATTCCAGTGAGGGGTTTTGGCTCCTTTGTCAAAGATGAAGTGGCTCAGTATGTCTGGAGTTGTTTCTGTATCTTCTAATCTGTTTCTTAGGTCCTTTTCTTTTCCAGTACCATGCTGTTTTTATCACAGTGGCTTTGTAACATAGTTTCAAGTTGGGGATTGTGATATCCCCTACCTTGTCCTTGTTGCCTAGAATTGCTTTTGCTATTCTAGGTCTCTTCTGATTCCAGATAAATTTTTGGATTGTTTTCTCTAGTGTGAAGTATTTCAATTGAGATTGCATTATATAGCAGCTTTTGAAGCATAGACATTTTCATGATATTGGTTCTTACTACTCAGGGGCAAGGGATGTCTTTCCATTTTCTAATATCCTCATTGATCTCTTTTTTTCAGAGTGCTGTAGTTACCAGAGTAGAGGTCTTTTATTTCTTTTATTAGGTTGATTCCTAAGTATTTCATTTTTTTGAATGACATTGTGAAAGGAGTTGCTTCACCAGTTGCTCTCTTGGTGAGTCTGTTGCTTGTGTACAGGAAAGCCACTGATTTTTGTGTGTTGACCATCCAGCTACTCTACTGAATTTGCTTATTAAGTCTACAAGACTTTTGATGGAGTTCTTGGGGTCTTCTATATAAAGTATCATGTCATCTGCAAATAATGACAATTTAGCTGCTTTTCCTATCTTTATTCTTATTTTTTCTCTTGTCTAATTGCTTTGGCTAATGTTTCCAGAACTATATTGAACATGAGTGGTGATAAGTGGATATCCTTGTCTCATTCCTGATTTTAGTGTGAAGGATTTACGTTTTTTACCATTTAGTATGTTATTGGCTGTTGATTTTTCATAGATGGCTTTTACCAGGTTGAGATAGAGATGCTCTATTCCATTTTTTTGGTAGGGTTTTCATCATGAATGAGTGTTGGATTTTGTTAAATGCTTTTTCTGCATCTATTGAGATGACCATATGGTTTTTGTCCTTGGCTCTATTAATATAGTGTATTATATTTACTGATTTGTATATGTTGAACCATCCCTGCATCCCTGGAGTGAATCCCACTTGATCAGAATGTATGATCATATTGATAATTTTCTGTGTTCTGTTTGTCAGTATCTTGCTGAGGATTTTTGCATCTATGCTCATTAATGAAATTGGCCTATAGCTCTCTTTTTTTTGGTTGGTTCATTCTCTGCTTTAGGGATCAAGGTGATGCTTGCTTCCAGGAAAAAATTTGGAATTGATTTAAATTTTTAAAGATAGGTTGTCACTATGTTTTCTAGGCTGGCCTTGAACATGTGAGTGTGGGAGATACTCTTGTCTCAGTCTCCTTAGTAGTTGGGATTACTGGCAGCACTCCCACACTTAAGTTGTACTTTTAGTATTCATGTGTGAGTTTAGGACAATAATAGTACTAGACTCTTGAGGGTTAAATGGATGAGGATTAAGCCCTGAAATTCTTGGCCAGTATGAATATTAATCATTAGCAATTTGAATAATGGTAGTAACCGTCATGGTAATGGCCGTTATAATGATAATCTTTACCATATTGCAAGACTAAGCAGTGTTCTGTATACTTTCTATTTAATCTTTAAACAAGCCTATGAAATAGATACTAGCATTATTAATCTTTTATACATGAGGAAACTGAGGTACAGTGAGATTAAGTATAATTCATACATTCAGCAAATAAGAGACCAAATAGGATATCTAACTACATTTATTTCATTCTAAGAGTAACCTATTAATTACTATATTATACAGTTTTTAGGAACCATGTTTTACATAAATAACAAACAATTGTTCTGGTAAGTCCTACTAGTGTGTCAGTAAAATTCTGTATACTCCTAGTTTATCATCATTTTTGATCCAGTGACACAAGAAGTTAGTTAACTCATTTACATCTGGCATGATCACTTTTTAAGTGCTTAAACACACTTCAAAGAATTGAGACAGGGGCCGGGGATTTAGCTCAGGGGTGCCACTTCCTCCCTCGTAAGCACAAGGACCCAAGTTCGATTCCTGGTACCAAAAAAAAAAAAAAAAACGGGAATTGAGACAGATTTGGAAAAGAACAAATGA